ATATGATGAATTATTTATTTCTGCATAATATGTAGATGGATAAGCAAGAAATGGTATTGATGTTCTATAGAAATCAAAAATAATTATTAAAATAGATTATCCTTTTTTTTCTTGTGTATACCGTATCGATGAAGGTGTCCATGTTTGTGGAGATGTTGGTTCCCATATATATCTTTGATATAGATCATAAGCATAATTATTTTCTGGATAATAAAATTGCATTGCAACAATATTAGCTAATACTTGACATGCTGTTCCATTCGATAAAAGAGTACGGTTAGATGATTGAATTGTTGTTGAATTTAAATTCATCTATAGAGACAAAAAAAAAAGCCAAGTGAATATTATATTGCAGAAAAATCATTCTAATTATTTACTCGACAAAGATATACAGCTGCATCGAGATGTTGTTGAAAAAATGAAGATATTGTGGGACTCTATATTTATTGAAGATTATTTTATAAGAAATTTAACGAAAAAAAAAACAAAGCATACATTAAATCTATTGAAATAATTAGGTGATAAACTAAAACCCGTTGCATTAATTACATAAGTTAAACACATACCATCCTTAATAAGAAAAAGAAACATAAGATACACATATACTTAACAATAATAGCTCACTTTCATATTACTACTAGACGCCAGACAGCAAGTGATTGTTGAAGGTGGTGGTCCAATATGCGGAGTGGCATTAGCACATGGACTACATCTAAAAAACAACGAAAATGTAGAAATTGTAAGTAAAGATTATATCTAACCGTTGACTATCCACATCAGACCATGTACCACTTGCACATGTTGTACATGTGTCATTACCATATCTTGGTTGAGCTGATGATGTACCGAGTGTATATAAACTACCATCAAGATTTGATTCCGCTAAAATAAAACATTTGATTAATTTACTAAAGAAAAGAAAAAAGTCTTTTGAATACATATAACTACTCTTGAATCTGCCGTATTACAAGCTGTATTATTCAAAGTGCATCCGAATCCATCAGTTGATCGTACCTTAAAAGATATAATTTATTGATGTAAAAAAAAAAAAAATAACAAAATTTTATACACATACATATCCTGGATCACATGGTGAACAAATCAATGAACCACCACCTTGATTAACACCATAATAATACGTATTATTTAAACATTCACATTGTGTTTTATCTAAATAAGAATCAAACAATTGATAAAATACAAAAAGAACTAAAAAAATTTGTTTTCTATATCAATATATGATTGAATCTCAAATTTATTATTGGAGTTTTTTTTCGTTTCCATATTAGAACACATTTGAATTCTTAGATAAACAATAAGTTACTTCTTTGCAAATGAGAATATCTAGAAATGTGTTCATTTATAATTTACAACTCAAAAGTAACTAGCTATTACTTATGACTTGAAACAGAATGGTTCATTATACACAGCTAAATAGGTAGTCATGTTTGACGTAAATTTATAGCTTTTTGAATAAATTATTCATGAGAAAAAATTGATGCGATGTTAACTTTAGTTAGAAGATACTTTTACCTCGAACATATCTGTACAAGTAGTTCAAGATCGTTTTTATACGGAACTCAACTGTCGATGGGAGGAAGACAGCAGTGGTGGATCTAGGATTTTTTTGATAGGTGATGATTCGATAGATACGGGGCGATTTTGATCAGATAGCGAGTTTCGAAGTGTATTAGTAGTAGTATGAACCTTATTTAATGACTTTTCTGCTGGAAAAAATTGAAAATTTTTGTTTTCGAATGGGGGCGATTGTCCCAAGCGCCCCCCCCCCTAAATCGGCCACTGGAAGACGGCAAGACAATTTCGATTTTTCGAAATTATTGTAATTTTCATTTGTGATTTATTCTCGAATCGAATTTATTTTCAAAAATTTTTCGCAAAAGACTTTGATTTTTTTCTTACCACTGGTTTTTTGTATAGCAAATGTTGGACAAGGTGAGCATTGTAATAAGGCAATATCATAATATCGATCTGTTGGACATGTTGTAACAATTGGAAAACTTCTTTGATAAGCTAAATAATAAGGTATAATTTGTGCAAAAATTTTTGTTGATGGAAGATATATTAAAAATAACCATGGAAGAGATTTAAATAAAATCATGTTTCGATTATTCGAACGAATAAATTAATAATTTATCAGATCGAATCAATCTCTCATACTTGTTGCTTAGCAATAACCATTATATTTATGTCAAATAAAAAAAAACGCAAATCAAATCTGATTGGTCAAAGGATTTCTCTAATCATAAAATAATCATAATACAACAATATATGTATATTTTTTTTTCAGCAACTTATAATTGTAGATAAATGGACGCTCTTATTCCTATTCTTAATAAACTTCAAGATGCATTTAATACTGTCGGTTCAGATAGTATTCAATTACCACAAATTGTTGTTGTTGGTTCACAAGTTTGTTTTGACTAAGATGCTTATTGTTTTTATATCTTATCATATATTTAAAATTGTAGAGTGCTGGTAAAAGTTCAGTATTAGAAAATATAGTTGGACGAGATTTTCTTCCTCGTGGTACTGGAATTGTTACAAGACGTCCATTAACTCTTCAACTTATTTATACACCTTCAGAAGAAAAACAAGATCAATGTCAACGTTTAGGAAGTAATTCACTTTATTTGAATAATATGAGAAAATTTTAATCGATTTTTCTAGTCCCAATACCTAATGAAAATGAATTTGGTATATTTACACATGTTAAAGATCGAGTTTATACAGATTTTAATGAAATTCGAAAAGAAATTGAAGCTGAAACAGATCGACTTGGTGGAAAAAAGGTTTAGTTTAATCTTCTCTTTTTTTCAAATATTATCTAATGTATATTTTTTTTCCTTCATATAGAATATTTCTAAAGAACCAATAACGTTAAAAATTTATTCACCAAAAGTTGTTACATTAACATTAATTGATTTACCTGGTTTAACAAAAGTATAAATTTAAATAAAAAATGAATTTTATTATTATATCGAAATTATTTAGATACCTGTTGATGATCAACCAATTGATATTGAACATCAAGTACGAAATCTTATTATGGATTATATATCAAATCCAAATGCTGTTATTCTTGCAATTACACCAGCTAATGTCGATTTTTCAACATCAGATGCAATAAAGTTTGCTAAAGAAGTTGATCCAGAAGGTTCGCCGGTTTTTTTCTATTCAGTGACGAAGACTAAGCTTTTTTTAGTTCTAGTCCCGACTTAGAGAAAACTATTTTAGAATTTATTCGCATTAAACCTAAAATAAAAGTCTGAAATACTCAAATCTTAATTAATTTTGCTCTAATTGATGCGACTTATAACATAATTTTAGTCATATTCCTCGTGTTTTTTAACTGTAAGTTAAAATGTCTATATGATAGCTAATAAGAAGGAATGTCTCTAAGTACTATGAATGGTACAAATAGTGTTTATAGAAGGAGGACATCTTTAAGTTTTTAACACTCATTACATTAGATGTTTCATAATATGAGCATTTTTTGCTTTAAGAATAAACAGAAATATTGTTAAGTTTATACATTATGATAAAGAAGACGACACAAATAAACATAAAATCTGTACATATTAAAATGTTAATGAATGAGGAGACCACAATCATATTGTGATATTTTTTATGTGTTGTTGTCTGCTGTTATTTCTTGTCTCTTTCTTCCTACTTCCATAATTACGTATCTCTAAGAAGTTTATTATTTAGGTCTTTTCTCCTCGTATTTAGATTATCGTTCTCTCTTGTCCTGTTATTTTCTCTTGTCTGTCTCTCTGTCTTGCTTCATATATAAGTAATGGATATTATAAAGTAGATGTTAGACGATTAAACTAAACTCAATGCACATATGCGCGTCTACATAAAAAAAGCATTGCATCATTATGAACACGAAAATCTATCTTCGTCATCATCCGCGATTGCATCTGTTCATTGAACATTAGTTCATCATCTTTAGACAGCTGTCATTTTTTCGTTTGTGAATATGATTGTAATTAGAGATATGCAGCACATCTCGAAATTGGGCCACTTTTTGATGATCCGACCCAACACTTATTCATGTCTGCTGGCCCAGCCCAGCTCAGAATGGCACTATAAATAGTATATTTTTTACACGATGGAATTCTACAGTCTAATGCTTGAAAAAAACAGCATGAGCGACAAATTGAAGTACTACTTATTGAATTGAAAGGGTTTGGTGTTAAACACCGAAACGGAAAATGCCGAAAGAGTAAATGTAAATAGAAATAGAAATAGATCGAAAATGTAGAAGTCGAAAGAATATAATAGGAAAGAGGAAAATGTCGAATGCAAAATGTCGAAAAATTAGATATCAATAATGATTTTTTTCTTTATTAATACTAAATGAGAAGTATTTATTCAATTATGCGACAGATGACAATAAAAAATGACTATATAAAATTTATAAATGTTCATCTCATATTTTGTGTTCGCCGATTAATAGTCTCAACATATCCAACAGCATCTTTGCACTGATTTCATTGCTGCTGAATCTTGTTTTGAGAGTTTCAAATCGACGTTGAAACATTGTTGTCCGTGTTGATTGTTTGGGAGAGGATGTACCTGCATCAAGTTGAATTATTAAATGTTCACAATGAGCATTTTTACTCTGAATCAGCTGTATGAAGGTCCATATATTCGGGTGTTTTTTCATAACACGCGTTCCAAATCGTCGATTGTAAGCTGTTATGAAAGAAAAACATACATGGTTTTTTTCAACTTGTAATTAAAGATTTTTTAAATTACCTTCACAAATATTATTTGTTCAATGATTAAGATCATAAAAATTCCACGTTGATAATGGAACATTTCCGTCTATCTATTGACGATATAAGTACGTGAATAAATCATCCAATGATGGTGATGCAATTGTACGAATACGTTTAAATTGATATTACACTTCAGAAACAGGCATTAGATATAAAGCCATTAATTGCTTGCACTGTTCACATATTGAAGCATCTTGTGCATAGAGTACCTAATCCCAGGTCCATAATTTTGCGATGAATACTTCAATTAAAGTGAAACATGCATCCCGTATGTGTTGCGGTTGGAAACTAGAACAAGGACAGAAAGATCAAGATTATGAGTTCCAATTTAAAGTGAAAATAGAAAACTTACTTCTTGTCGAATCACCGGGATTAAAGTTGCTTCAAAATCAGATATTTAATCAGTAAAAATTGGTCATTCGAGTCGGTTTGAACGGACATCCCACATCCACGTTCAATGAAAATCCAATATTTTTTTGAATGTGTTGTTTTGTTGCATTTGAACAAATAGTGATTCAATAACAGTAATGTTTTACGTTTATTGGATTTTAAAAATGAAATTGAACTTTGCATCGTTGAGGGTAAAGGACTGGATCGAATGTTGTATGTTTTCATCACATTGGTATGTCGAATTTACGTTTAGAATAAATAAAATAAATGGCTATAGATTATGAAAATGACGATGTTTAAATAGTCTGATTATAGAATAAATAGATACAGACCATGACGACGACAAAATAAAAATAGACTGATGATAGAATAAATCGCTATAGACAGTGAAGACGACGAGATTGAAACAGTCTGATAACGACCAATAACAGTTGAAAAAATAAAATCACATACTATGTAGACATCTTTTTTATTCTAATTTCACTCTTCGATGTTTTCTTTCCGATATTTTCCTTTTACATGTTTCTTTTTTTCGACGTTCTGTCTCAGTCTACATTTTCTATATTTTCTTTTCGATATTTTCCTTTTCTTTCTTTTTAATTTGTTGAATACTGCTTTCGATATTTGTCCGTTTTTTTTCGACATTTTCCTATTCGGTCTTTTTTTTTCTTCGTTTTCCGTCAATCCCAATTGAAAGAGCAAGATACATTCTTGTATGCTGCAGCTTCTTGAAGACTATCATTGGTTAACAAAATTTTTTTACGAATAGAATGTTTCGTGATCAATTTCAAAGAGTCAGATTGGTTACTATTTTAATTATATTGT